TATAGTATGAGGCCAGAAACAGAAAGAGATAGCAGACTTTTTACCTCTTGAATTGCCTTTGTTTCCTCACTGATCTAGAAAAGGAAGTAGAAGGGACATGGCTAATTCTGACCATTATCTGACAGCTCTGTAATGTCATGTTTCATGAGGCACCCGTTCAGCATCATGCACTTAGATCAGGGAAGATTGTTACATTAGGAGACATTTCTCTTGTGAACTTTCCCAAGCCTGCTGTTTTGTTCATTAAATCATTAGCTGCATGAAATGCACATCTAAACCACTGTGTCTTGGGGCTTCATTGGTGCTTGAAGTTGAAAGATATTTGGTACAACAGGACAGTACCAGCAGGACAGTAGATAGTGCCACCACCCATATCATTCTCAGGCCAGTATTTATGGCACTTCTGAGAGGTGTGGTGTGGAATCACCTCAGTTTGAGGTGACTGATGAAACCAGGCTCCCCATTCTTTGCAGGACACACAAATTGATCAGTCATTAAATAAAAAGGGGATGGAATCAAGTACACACTCTCAGGACATGTTTTCTAATAAAAGCAGTCCTGGCTGCTTCATCTGGAGCACAGCTAACCAGTGTGAGTATATGGTAGGTGCAAACCAGACTAGGTGGGACTGCAAGGAAGATTCAACTGGCATGAACCAGCCTCCATTCTGCAAATACAGAAAGCCTATGCAGGCCCAGAAGTAGAATTTCAGTAATTAGAATTCAGATTTCAGAAAAATGTCTCTATTTACAGACTTTCTGGCACCTAAAGCAAGGGAGGGCTGAGAATCACACTTGTAAGTATAGACACTAAAAGTTCTGCTCTGCATGCCTAGATCCTCATGAAGACATGGGTCTCTATGTTTTTCTGTGGCTTCACTGTAGAAAGCAGAGATTTTATCCTACGGTGTTGACTTTGTGGTGATTTGAAGTGAGGGAATTAAAAGTTTGCAATGCCTGAATAGTGATTTACTACTCGGTATTCCTATGGATTAGTTTTGTAGTTCTAACTACTGGTTCCCCTGACAATTTGGGATTTATCTTTCCATCCATTTTCATTTCAAACCACATAAGAAAAGATGTTATCGACTGCTTTGTATTCAGTGACAAATGCATTCTGACTGTTGCTAAAAAAATGATGCACTTGATAGCACACGGGGATTTAAATACTGTCAACTGTAAAGGGTACTTCTGCAGACTAATGCACAGTTCCCAGCAATGCTTAGGCATAATTGCTGGAGACTGGCTGAAGTCACAAGCTTCACGTCCAGATTTTGAATATAGCATCTTTGAACAATCTCTGAATCCAGGTTTTGAGCCAGCCATTACTTAAAAACATAAAAACACCCCACCACCACCACTCCACCCCAAAAAAAAACAGACCCAAAGAAAAAAGAACACCATGGAACAGCTTTCAGGATTTTTAATTCCTTCATACCTAGGTCATTTGAATCTAAGACATTACTAAAGGCTATCTAAATACATGGAGTAGATAAACTCCGCTGCAATATAGATCTGATTAAAAAGTCATTGTATTTGTTTTTATGGAAGAGAAGTCATCCTAAATGTTTAATGTATAGAATAAAAAGACACAAAAAAACAAAGGCAGAAATAAAAGCATACAATATTTAGAAGAGCCAAGAAGAAATTAACAAGGAATAGAGAGCAACCAGGAAAGTGGGACAGAAGGACAGAAAAGGGAGACTGCAAGAAGTAAAACAAGGTAACAGAAGAAAAGAGGAAAAAGTTGACAGCAAGAAAGGAGGAAAAATACTAAGAAAATATTTTTCTGACCATCCATTAAATCTTCTCACAGAAATGGAAAACTGAGAAGGTCAAATGGGGAAAGATGTTTGTGCAAACGTTAACACCACCATATTTCTTAGACGCCCCTTCATAGTAATTTATATGAATTTTAAGTTTGCAAATTCTAGTGGCAATAGCATTAGATCTAGGAGGTCTTTTGAGGAAGTCAAGGATGGAAACTTGAAGTGCATAGCTGTGCTTAATTTTAGTTGACTGTCTCATATAATTTGTTATGCTTTGTTTTTTCAGCATTTGCAAAGTAAAAATAGCATTCTAGTCTCATATAATTTGTTATGCTTTGTTTTTTCAGCATTTGTAAAGTAAAAATAGCATTCTAGTTCATGTCAAGTATATCAGTTAATTATAGCAGACCATGATTTTCAATGCTAGATGCCTGATGTTAGGCTCCCGAGCCTATGTTTGGATATGAAATAGTTAGTCTCAATTTCAGAACTGACTGACCTGAGTCTGCTTAGTGCATACTTCATAAAATTGCTAGTTATCAAATTATTACAAAAATATATTGCTATTTTAATGCATTAAACAACTCTCCCATAGAATGCAAAGAATGATCTGGTCCTTTTCCCAAGGGACATTAAATTGATAGGTAAGATTGTGCTATCCACCCTGCTTTCCAGTAGCAAGATTTTCATGAGGAAATATTTTCATGAGGAAAATAACAATAACATCTGACCCTGTGTTTTAAACGATAGTAGAGACCAGACAAAAGGAAAGCATCAGCTGTGGCTCTGTGGCATTCATGTGGCATAGAACCCTTCTTTTCTTTTTCATATGTGAAAAATCTAAGTAGTGTGATTTTATTAGATATTTATTGCTGGGTTTTTTTCTGGCTTTAAATAGAATACTCCTGTTAAGATTTCATGTGAGTATCTTCATATGTGCCATATTATAATAATCTATTGTCTGCAGAATAAAGATGGCAACATAGCTAGCTATCTCTGTAACTATAAGGATTAGAAATTATATGTGTAGCGAAGCTTAAGCACACCACAAATTGTGCGAAACTCTGTAAATCCATTTTTTTTCTATGCCACTGGATTCCTGTTGTCAATGTGATTAGTTAGTAGTTATATCACTGTTACTGAAACAATATTACAGCCAGAAATTCTGGTTCCTATTGGCCCCATTGCCTACACTTTTTCACATTTGCTATTACAGTCCTTTTAGTCCCAGGTGAAATGTTTTCTGTTGTCTTAGCTCATTCTATAATAAATGCATCCCAACTCCAACACACACAATCAGTCAGAACTGGCAGTTTCTCAACTCCAGTAAGTTCAGAACTGCATACAGGCTAAATTACTTCTGTCCCAGGAGACTGATTCTTTGAGGTCAAGTCAAGCTCATTAAGGAGAAGAGAGTGTGGGGATGTTTGTGCTATAGCCTTTCAGCTGCACCTATCATGCGTAAATGCTTTGAATTCTTTTATTTCCAGAACTGTGCAGACCCTTAACTATTGTACTGCTGGTGTATTTCTGTATTGGCCAAGTAGTGTTGTCAGTGAACACATCCAGCGAATAAGCATAGTCTAATAAACAGGGCATGTAATTGCATTTAGGAGACCAGAATTCTCTTTCTGATTCTGACCTGGTTTATGAGTTTGGGACCATCACACCTGCATTTGTGCCATTGTTTCAGCCTTCACATCCCGCTGTCATTAACGCTGTACACTCTGCAGTGCAGGGCTGTCTCACACTGCTTAATTTTACAATGCCAAGCACAGATAAGGCCCTAGATACCACTGTCTGTACATGACAATAACAAATCCAATGTCAGACAGATGGTTAAACCTCCATGCAATGTTTCTTTTTCTTTTCCCATGTAAATGTTTCCATTTTAATGAAATGGAAGATACCTAACTTGCTTTACTCCAAACTAATGAATAGGTTAGTGCCACCAGCAGCTTTTTCTAGCAATTTAAAGGACAACAGGACAAAAAAAAGGGAAGGAAACAGCTATTTATTCTGTCTCCTTGTGAGTCAGCACCCGGGTCGTTATTTTTAATAAAAAGATAGAAATATTTATTCCTGAAGGACTCAGATTTGTTGAAGCTCAAGAGCTATGATAGAAACAAATGTCTTTTTTTCTCTTCCATTCCAGTATTTACATATAAAAAGCATCTGTTTTGCATATAGTTCCTGTCATTGTCTCTGACTGAATAAGAGTGTGTGCATAATATTTACAGGAAAGAATGCTGAGATATGCAATTGTTAATATTAAATATTATTTTAAATTTTATTTTGATGTGTTATTACTAAAAGCAAAAATATACTTAAGAAGGATGACTGTCAGAAAAACAGTAAAGTGGCCTTAAATGAGCATATAGTGAAAGAGTACATTTTATTTACATCAGTAAATTCTGTATCAGCTTGGTGCACCTGATAACATGGGGGCGCTTGTGAGGCATTTGAGGGCTGTTGGTCACCCTAGCTGTGGACTTCAGATTCCAGTGATAAGAAGGTTCATTATTCATCATCCCTCACTGCTCTCCTTCCTTTCTTGGTGTGAACATCGACACAAGCCTCTGTCATTCAACTCATAACATTTCTCAGTTGCATTTCTCCTCAGTTCGGAGTATCAGCCACATTCAGAATACGTCAATTCTTCCACCACATTGGTTTTAACAGCCAATTATATTTTTTTTTCCTGCCCATATTAGTAAAATCCCACCCAGACTCTCATCATCTTGCACATCACCTGCTGCAATCTCCTCTCCTCTCCGGTTTGCTTCCGTGTACCTTGTGCACCAAGTAAAGCCCTTTCCAAACACTACAAGCTATCCATAACACAGCACAGTCAAGAAACACCAGAGTCCTGCGGTCCTATCCCCCACGTACCTCTCTAACTCCAGTTCCTCTTCAACACCTCTCTTCTGCCAGTAATTAAGGATTTCACAGCACAGGTTAATGACTTGATTGTGTCTCCCCAGATATGGATCAGAGCCAGGGTAAAGATCTAATCTCAGGTGTTATGAGTTGCAGTTAAAAAGAATCTCAAGTTTCCTAAAAACTTATTAGGAACTTCCTTGATTTAAAAAGTGATCTTAATGTTTTGCCAGCTCTTTATGCATTTCTCACCTAGTAGGAAATGAGTGGCACAAGAGAAAAATTTCTACCCTCAAAGCTCTCTAATATACATCAAACCATTACCATATGTCTTTGTGTTTGGGTTTAACAGAGTTGGCGTAGATCCAGATGAAGATCTGAAAGCAGAAGCTGCAAGCCAGGTACGTCAGGATTTTAGACATACATCAGCATGCATGTATTAAAAACTGCTCAGTTGTTGACAGATCATGTTTGTCAAAAGTAGTGTTAGAGCTGAAAATGTTTAAAACAGGCAGGTTGAAAATAAAAAGGAGCTGCAAAGTATCTTTATTGTACAGGGTACAAAGAGAGGAGATATATATATTTTTCAATGGGCACTCATGAAAATTTTGTAACTAAAAATGTTACAGAGTTTTGAAGAAAATTATAAATAAATGCGAAGATACCCTGAGAGGTCTAATAAACAAAATAATAAAACTATTGCCTTGATAAATCCAAATATTTATCACCTTCCAAATGCTGCATTTATGGAAATGAGACATCTCAGAACAATTTTTAATTCCCTGGAATAAAAAAAGGAGAATGCGTAATGTTCAATTCTAGTAGGTCAAGTTTCTGAAAATATTTTTCAGTTATTTTTCACATGGAAACCTAAGTACATAGTGAACTTGAAAACTTTAAACTAAAGGAGGCTATTTAACAAGCTGCAGCTGTTCATCTGTCACCCTCCCTTTTTTGTCATACATGTATGGCATTGTTTCAGATGCAGCACTGCCTCCAACAACAGTAGAAATCTATAGAGAGTCAATACACAGAGACATAACATGTACTTCAGCGTGGTAAGCGGAACAGCAGTAGGACTAGGGAGAAGCAAGACTACAGTTGACAAGTTGCCAAAGCAAAAAGCACCTAATACTGTGTTCCTGTTTCTAGGTAATACCATCCCTTGCACTCTTTCAGACTGCACAGCTGGAACTGAAATTGAAATCACCCAACAATGATATAAATGCAGAAAATAAGTTAGGGCAAGACATCAATAAGATACTCTATTCACTTGAAAATGCATTAAAGATATAATTAGGCAGAATTTTAATATATCTTACGTACTGAGTATTCTCAACATATATGCATTTGCACATATCTGAAGGCATTTTAGGGTCTCAACTTTCATTGAAACTGAATGGGATTCAGGTGCCTAACTGTCCTAATGTTTCTTTGAAAAAAAGGAAAAAGAATATTATTCATATCTGACCATATCCTTACTTTTACAACTCTGTTGCTATTAAAAGGGCTAGCATAACACACCATTGCACCATGCCAAGATACTGATTTATTCTGCATCTGAGGGAACTGATCACTAATATCACTCTCCTAAGCATCTTGGTAGGAATTCTTGCAATGCCTCTGCCCAAATTCTGACCAAGGCCAGGACAGAGAACCTTAATCTTAATCTATTCTTGATTGGATTTTAAAGATATATCATTTCGGAAATTTTCTGCTTTGCAGCACTCATGAATTATCAAAGATCAGAGAATGCTGAATGCAGTATAAAATTGACTGAATGCATGTTTTGTGGAAACCTGATTTATTCAGAAGTCAATAGGCATCTAATTTTCTCCTTCATTTATTAAAAAGGAAAATAATCATGTTTATGAAAAACAGTAACACATTCAGTGTCCCAACTGTGCCCTGTGAATTAACACCTATCTCTCTTGACAAAACTCAACAATACAACACAGAAGGTGCAAATAAATATAACACCTTTCATGCCCTATCATGTCCAAGTCAGCATTACTTATAATAGTAAATTTTACCTTGCAAGATAGTTTTGCTGCTCTGATTATTCTCCCCCCGCCCCCTATGGTATTCTATTTTCATTTGTCTGACTTTTTTTTATTTGAAATCTCAATCTTTTACTAATTCAGACCTCTGTTGCATTCTCTGTAGCCCTCTTTGTTTTAACTCAGTACCTATCACATTTATTCAAGTTATATCAGGTTATTTCTTTTAATTTTCTCTTTCATCTCATCTCTCTCATTCCTATTCTCCTTTGTTATCTTTTTTCTTTCCCTGTACTTCTCTTTTTATTTAGTTTACCTACTTTTAATTTTCTTCCTATGTTAGTCTGTCTTCCGATGAAAGCAGTTGTTTTTCTTGCATATATCCCTGGACAAATAATGTATCAAGTGCCAGTATCTCCCACTGCCAGGTAAAAATCTCACCCAGATGAACTTTAAACTATGTGCCAACTCTCAGTTCCGTTAATTGGAGCTTCAGGGGAATTGCACAAGAAATAAGAAGTGAATATCTTCTCAAGAATAAATTGTTTAAAAGACAGCAAAATTAGTGGAAAACAAGCCTCTAGGCTCCTCCCTTCTCAGCGAGAGTACTCAGCCAGAATGGGGAAGCCACAAGGTGTGCTGTGGAGATTTGAGTCTATCTCCTGTGACCACTCTAACTACCAGGACACAGGGTATCTTCCTGTGGGAACCTCTCAATCCATATCTGTAATCAGACCTGGATTTTTTAGGGGCAGAAAAAGCCTTAAATGACTTCCACCTCATGAGTACTACATCAGAGGCAATAGCAGCTATATGGCTGCATAACTCTTTTCCTTTCCCTTCTTTCCTTCCCTTCCCTTGCCCAAATTCAATTTTCTCTTCTCTGAAGGAATTCGATTTATTTAGTCAAGACATCCATGGATATGGTTGTTTCTGGACCTGCGATTATGCTTACTGCTCGATTCCAGACTGGCTCAGCCAGTACTTTTGGCAGTCGGCTAGCAGCAAACTCCAGTTCAGCTTGTAAGACCTGGAACCCAGGGCACCTTCCCAAGCAAAAGGTGTAGAGCCTTTTAATGTATAATTAGCGTCTGGACTTCACCATACCATGACCTTATCCATCAAAAGCATCTCTCAGTTTCTTTGTGTCAGTTCTTCCTTGCCTTGCCTTTCCTTAAATGTGTTTATCATCAAATCATTATCACAACGTAAATGTAAACAGAAGAAATAATAGCCTCATATTCATATCCATTTATTTATTGATGGACGGTCATAAATCAGTTCAGAAAGAACTGAATTACATAATGCATACTACAGATAATATATGTTATTGTATAGAAAATAATATGTAAAAATAAACAAAAGCAGTTTGCTGAATATCACACACATTTAGAGTATAACACCAAAAGCAAACGCTGATAAGCAGAATGCAAGATACATAATCACTAAGCAGAGTTACAAAGTTGATCTATTAAAAATAATGCAAAAGCTTTTATGGCAGTGGGCTTTTTAACTAATTTCCCATAAACAAAGATAAATAGCATATTTTATTCAGATGGTTTATCTATCTCAGAAATTCAGCTACGTTAATCTCTATTGAGACAGTGTAAGAATGTATTTTCTACAAGCATTTTGGAAAAATGTTGTATATGTAGTATTGATCTCAGGAGAAAGCTAAATAGCCTGCAAAACACCTATCAATATCATCTCTGTCAAACTAATGTTCATAGTTTATTTAACCATCCCTATGTCTTTATTAGTATAATAAGGAGATTATTTATACTTTCCCCATCAGTTGCATCTGCTAGCGGGTTGGTGAATTTATTGCAAGTGACTACTGAGAATAATCTCCATATGGGTAATTCCCAAGTAAGAGATGAGAAACACTGGCTTTCTCACATCCCAGAGAGAAGACTATTGCCCAGAAGAGGTGGTGGAGTGTCGCCCGTACTTCTACCTCTCTGAACTGTAGGGAAAATGAAAACTTACTTTGTAAGATCATAGGATCCAAGGATCTGCAATAGCCCAAAAGCATTCACACCAACATCTCCTGACATCCCTTGACTGTACTGTTTTTGCAGGAGCTGCACTACAGAGAACTACCCAGATTCCCATTAATGCAAAAGGTGATAACACAACACATATTTCATATACAAAAAGAAGAAGGTGCAACACATGTCAAACTCATACAGCTCAAATGAGCCAGACATTACAGGCCACCAGAGTAGGTGTGGAGCAAAGCAGCAATAAACATTAGTGCAAGAAATAAAAGCAGGACTAGCAAATTCTGGGACAATTACACTCTGGTGTAGACTTTTTTGTCCACTGCTTTCATATGGGAACATGAATGCAAGAGGAAGCTAGTTATACAATGAGTTTGGAAAGAGGAATTAACCAATAACACTATGGCTTCTGGAAACATTAGTAGTCAAACCAAGGACACGCAGGCCATGTACAGAGCTCTCTGCTTTTAACTAGCCTTCCTCTGCACTGCACTCATTGGCTGCTTGCTGCAGCCCACTCCACGATATGTCTATTTCCATGCCTGTCCTTCTCTTTCTCATCTCTATACCTGTCCACCCTAGTCCTTCAACCTCTTTCTTTCAGTGTTCTTCTTGTTCTGACCTAACATAGACCTTACCTGCCATCCCACTTCCTGCTTAAATGTTTCAACCCTTTTCCCAATCTGTATCTATCTTGCCAAAATGCACTATTAGATATTAAGGGCTTAGAAGAGTGTTCTGCTGCTTGGTTAGGGATTAGTACCATCTTCTTCCCCCCTCCAGCCTCCCCAGCTGCTAGCTGGAGTTGCTAAAATACTCAATTCAGTAACAAGGAAACAGATCCCAAGAATAATATTCAGCCTATTTGGTGCATTTATAAGTTCACTGGGACCACCTTTGACATTAGCAAAATCATGACAGCTACCATAATGGTTTCTGTCTCCATATATCCTTATTCAAAACTCAGTGAAATCAACGTGAAAGTTGCCATATACAGGTTGGCTTGGAACTAGACCCTACAGTTCTGAGGATTAGACCATTGCCATTATTATCATCAGCCAATTTACATTTATGTTAATTTATAATACGAAATTTATTTTTAATATATTATTAAAGTGTAAAAATATTAGAAAAATTGGTTTAAAAATGCATAACAAAAAATATTCCCATTAAAAAATAATCTAACTTGCAGCAAAACACAAAGAAGACAATAATGAAGTATCCTTAGAGAACTGGCAATCCCATTCCTAATTCCATCCTGCCACTAATTCTTCTGCTAGTACTGATGTGATGCCCAGAGTACAACCAAACTAGCTGTCTTTGTACAGATTACTGTTTCTAATGTATTATTCCAAATTACACCCCTGAGTAAAAGGACAGTCTACCTGTGCAGCATGTCCCAGAATTAGCTTGCAGAATGGAAAGCAGCATTTTGAGTCTTGTTGATTCGTGTTCCTCTCCACTTGTAAAGAAACACAGAAAGGAAAGTAGCATCATAATTATTAGAATATCACGATCCCTTTGGGAATGACATTTTGTTAGACATACACAAATAGCATCTAATCTTGTAGGAGTAAACTGGAGGAATCCCACAATGGCAATTAAATCGAAATATCATTTTATTGATCTCAGAATATAGTGCTTCTCAGCTGCTTAATTAAATTGGAATCATTAATAAAAGTAAATGCTGCACTCTTCCAATGAGTATACAGCAATGAGAAATGTGCTATATGAGCCAGTTTGCTCCTGAACTGATTCACAGAGATGACATTTGTGTGCCAAACAAGCTCTTAAAAAAAAAAAAAAGTGCAGTTAATTGTAATTCGGTTGGCATGTATTTTTAATATTGGAACTCCATGTTTTATTTGTGTTATAAAAATGCTTTTCACTTTATTCATTTGTTTATTTTGCAGAGTGCATCTAACTTGGATAAAAATACAACCAAAGCTGAGAGTGCATGGCTGTTCAGAATATGGTATGGCTTTGACCACAAGTATCCTTTTCTGTTATAAACCATAGATGATAGTTACATTACAACTGGCACCTTCAAAATATTTAAGAATCAAAAAATTATTATACTTTCAAAAGCAAAAACAAAAGCATAATTTATTTTAACATGTTTAGTAAGGAGAAGAAATTTTGAAAGTTCAAAGAAAGCTGGGCAGTGCAGTGGTAGCACATTCCTAACTGATGCTATGAGGAATGAGAACAAGCTAAGAAGCTCTGCCCTACAGTAGTGTATAGACAATAGGTTTAAAAATATTAAACATTTTAAATTCCAGGATAAATCTAATCCAATTATTAATCAGATAGGGTCTAAATTCTGCGTTTGAGAAACCGGGAGGCTGGAGACCGAAGCAGCCTAATGTCTGCTGCCTGCCTGCATATTTAGAAAGCAGTAGCTACCCAAGAGAAAGTATAAATAAGACAACACTGGTTTACCCACACCTCTTACAGAGAAAGACGCACCCATTGTGAAGATGTAGCTCCCAGGACTTCCCTGGAGCTCATACTTCCTATTCCCTGGATTCCTGAGCGTTTGTGTTTCTATTCCCATTCCTATTGAGGCATGTATGGTAGAGATCTTGAAATATGGGCGTCTGATGCTTCATTCTAGGAAGTCTGGTTTCCATGTCTTTTGCATTTCAAGAAAACATTTAAGTGATTTTTTTTTTTTTTTTTAAATATTCTTAAAAAGAACATCCTCCTGAACCCAAGGTAGAACATACACTCTTTGACACCCATGCTGTCACTAATGCCTGTGCAAAGATGGTAAAAGCTACCATTCTAATTTATTGCCATTTTAAACTGACTCTGCAAAGGCTTTGCATAGCTATCAGTGAGATCCCACAATAACAATCATGCCCTAAGCCTGTAACAGAGATATACAATGAATAGCCCGTCTGCTTATTTCCATGCATACTGGCTCAGCAGCTGAACAGGCAAAGCTCTACCAGTAGTCTCCATTATTCAATAGCACATCTATTGGTCCATTACCCTGCGCTACTCAGTAAAGATTAACATCTAGGCTACATGTATGTTTTTCTGGTACCAGTTGCAGCAAACTAGGCTGAAATATTTCAGCCAATGAAATGTAACTCTTTGGGAATACAGCTTCCTTAAAGAGTTCAAGTGAATTTATCGTTCAAAGAGATTTTTGATGGAAAAAACATCTTTTTGGTTAAAAATGAATATGTTGCCCTAATTCATCTACCAGAGCAGTTTTAAGGGCCAAAAAGCACTTAACATTAAAATGTTTCCCTAGGATAATTCTTCAAGAATCCTTAGAAATAGTAGGCGAATGCTGTATAAAGGGGGAAAATATGTTTAAATGTTAATGCTGAGTACCGGCATAACTGGCTTTAACTATCACCCAGTCCCATTTCTTTTTCAGAAGGAATAGCCTGTGGTTGTGATATATCTTAGAAACTGTAAGTCAGAAGGAACAGATGGGGGGCGGGGGGAAGGCGGGGGCAGGGGATGGGAATTGCTCTGGAAAAAAAAAAAAAGAGAAAGCAAAACAATGTGGAAGTCAAGAACAGGACAGAGGCATGAGTTAAAAAAAGACATGAAAAAAAGACAACAAGGGTATAGCTAGAAAACAAGGGACAGAGGCAGAAGGGATAGAGAAATCAATACGAAAGAGTCAGACAACAGTACATGCAAAATGAAAGGTCTGTAGAATGCACCGGAAGCACCACTTCTCAGAGGTTATCTGTATGGTAGAGATCTTGAATATGGGTGTCTGAGGCTTTATTCTAGAAAGTCTGGTTTCCACATCTTTTGCATTTCAAGAAAACATTTTAAGTGACACTTAAAAAATGTTCTTAAAAAGAACAAATTTATTCATAAGTGTCAATCTCTCTTCCAGTCAAGTCATAATCTTTCTTTAGAATTCAGATTTTCAGAGATTATAGCCCTGCCATTATCCTAAAATATATCTTTATTGCAAATAATACCTCTACATTTTACTAAGCCTGAAAATGTATGACCATATACCTGCACAGAATAATGGTTGAATCCACTAATGCTATGACTCACAGCTCTGAGCATTTCTTTGGTATGACTATTTCTGAAAGACATTCTTCTCAGGGAGAAATTATCCACCCAAACTTTCTTTTGGTTTTCCCTGTCTAATGTTACAAAACTGTGCTGCTAAGTTTAGAAGCAATTGTCATGTAGCACAGTATTCGTGCCCAATACAAGATTGCATAGAGAATTATGCAATATAAAGTTTTCAAAGAAAAGATGCAGCAAAATAATAATCTATCTGGTTATATACTTTGAAAGCATACAAGACTCTGACATTTCTATAGTTTGACATTTGCTCTTAGGCATTACACAAATCTACCCACTCTTCTGGCAATAACATCTCTTTTTTCACAAGGGAAAAGCAAGAGGGAGGAAATATCACTGAGGAAATCAAAAAGTTGTGCTATTCCTTGCTGTCCTTATGAATGATTTCCTCTTACTTCAGTGGTCTTAGGCAATGGCAACGTGCCACGCTAGGCTAGAACTATTAAAAAAAAACCAAAAACTGAAATCTTTAAGCAAGTATCTTTGAATCAGGTATTGACACCTAAGAAAAACATACCGTTCTCTAAAATCTAGGCTAAATGTTAATATTGGAATAATAAAAATGAAGAACGGATCATTTAAATGCTTAGAGGTATCCTCTTGAATTTTCATGTCAATAATTTAAACAAGGAAAATGCAAAACAAAATACTTGGTACCTGACAGTGGGTAAATTCCAGTGAATTTATTTCAACTTCTTTGTTTGTACAGCTTACAATGCATTACCATTTGAAGCTGTAATATCCTACTTCAGGCTAGTGGACAAGTGAGGGAATAAACAAATGCAACAATTCATCAGGGAAGAAACCCAAGATCTATAATCCAGCACTATATACATGGCTTTATATTGTTTTTTGTGTTTTTTCAAGGCAGATGTAGCCAAGTTCAGCTAACAAATGAGTAAGTAGGCGGAAATTTTGTCCTGCATATATAAGGGCAGAGATTCTATCAAATGGTGAGCAAAGTCGTCCCATTCCAGAGCATCCCACAACAAAACTGTAACTTTGCTCCCAGCTAGTAGCAATTTGCTTTTAACTCTTCTCAGCCCCAAACCTCTTTACTTGCTTATGCCAGCAAGTATCCCTGGGTTTTGCCTGCCTAGTCCCAAGACATTGTGTACCTGACTAGAGTTAGAATTCCTCCTCTACATAGGCCTGTATTCCCAGTTACAATCTACTGCTAAAAATGAAGATAAAATTAATATATTAAGTGTCTTGCAAGCAATCTTCACCTGTTTTTCCAGCTACTTTAGACTAAACTCCTGCAATCGTTTCTGGTTTAACATGATCTTATACAAGGCTTTTTGTCCACTAAAGCTTCTTTCTCTATATGTATTCATATAATTCTCACTTCCTCATGTGGGGGCATTTTCGCTCTTGCTGGCTGTTCTGTAGCATCAGTCAGGAAGATGACTACACTGTTTTCCTGGCTTCTCATGCTGTATACTGAGAGGAGAAGCAAGGATTTGGGATTGCTGCACTAAAACACGAAAGTGTAAACATAACTGAAACTGAAGATGAAAAAAGAGAGCATAATGCATGTGCTAAGATGTTTCCATCCATAATTGCTCACCATCTTCATAAGGAGAAGCCTACGTTATGTTGCAGGATATGTACTTTAATAGTACACACTGAAACTTGCATTGAGAAAAAAATAGTTACTGCGTAACAGGAAAACATATGCAAGATTACAATAGAAGAAAGCCAGAAGGGAAGGAAGAGGGACGCAGACTTCAAATGCACGGTAAGTTTCTTTGAATACTTAATAAGCGTTAAATTGCAAGACACAGGCCTTGGGCCCATCTGCAGCCAAGTCCATTTTTTTTCTGGCAATGGGGTGAGGGTGAGATTGCATGTGATGTGGACCTCCAAGACTAACCAACATGACCAGAGCCCTAATGCTGCCTACCTCGGGCACTTGTGAGGGGTGAGAGATACGACGATTGTTGTTAGCTGGCTCATATGGGTATTACAAGTGTTGCAATGACAGGCCTAATTCATCCTTGATACTGCTCCAAGCTACCAAATAGCAATGTAGCTAACTTGCACAGAGCTTTGCTTTTCGAGTGGCTCATGTGCACACTGCCACGAATAGAGTAGGAGGAGGAGAGCTTTCTCCTTCTTTACAGATTTCTTTTCAGTCTGAGGAACTAACATTCAGCTATGCTGAATAGAAGCAGGAGTCTGGGACAGAGTGAGCCAATTCTCCATAAAGCAACTTCTAAAAGCGTTTCTACTTGATCTGCAGTTATCCGTCATTCAGATGCATTCATTTCAGTTTAAAAAAAAGCTTGTTTGTGTCCTTTGCACTTACCTGAAATCAATCAGCCAAAAGGAATTGCATTATTTGTACACTTCAAAAGTTTATCCTCCTTAACTTATCAGGGCACCTATCATTTTAGTTCTCCTGTTCTCTGTACATGGATAAACCAGACATAATGGCTGCCTATGAAGTAAGATAAGTACTATTCTGTGCCTGTGAGAAAATGGAAAAGCTACTAAAAGCAAAAGTGCATTCCAGGGTGAACAAACAATCAAAGAAAAATTCAGCATTTTCTGGTCTTCAGCTGAATTTTCCTATTGGGATGACTTGCCTCTCTCATATCAGAGACAGACATCTTTGGAAGGAAAAGACAAGAGGCTGTAAGCATGCATGTGCACACCATTTTCTTTTACCTGCTGGAGAAGGAAAGGTTTCTTTCTTAATTACTAATATTCTGATTTGGTATTCTTTATCACTTCGGTGACAACAGAAAAATAGCACACGTTGTCCTAGTTTTGGACCAGAACCTCATTTTGCTAGACAGTTTTGAAAGAAATGAAAGACAATCTTAACTCAGAGAGACTTTAGTCTAATTATGAATCAAAGAAGCATCAGATAATGCAATGTAAGCAAATTCGGGTACCACACAAACAGTA